CGTCATAATATTTATTTGCGGCGATAAAAACGCATGCGAAAAAATCGTTGCGCTCGGTACAGAAAAATAATAGACATAGGTACGCGGCGGCGTAATTGACGTAGAAAAATACGGTGGAAAAAATCTGGAACAAAAGTGCCTTCATAAAGTTTTATGATGTATAACGTCGACGGATTTTTTTTTTTTGTTTTTTTTCTAACTTCTCCGTCCCCATACACCGCCCCTTCCGCGTACACGCGGCGTAAATAGCGCCGGCAAACTGCAGTGCGAACGAGTGTTCTTTCGTATAATGTCGTTACGCGCACAAGACGGGGGTATTAATGGGACTTTGGACTGTGACGGCGAAATTGCAACGCGTCCGGAACGGAAACAATGTTTGAACTGGCGTCCGACAATAAAGTGCTGAGAAACATCACGGACAGCCGTATAGAAGAAAATACTCGGGTAGACCGTACACAAGAGAGAGAACGCATTTATTAAAAATAATAGAGCGCACCGTCCGTCCGCCAGGTCGTCTGCACAGTATTACCGAACATAACAGACATTTTCGTTACGCGTCTAAATTGAAAAACGCGTACGAGATACACAGATAGAAATGTCTCGAGCTTTTTTCCGTCCGAACGCGCTCGAGTGTACACTTTCGGACAGGCATCGCTCGCTGTCGGCGTCGGTGCGGTAGATAACGCAAATTCCGCACGACGGTGTTAATATATGATAAGAATTTCGTACGCGATTTCGATAACTGTTGTCATAAGACATTAATAATACGCATGTGTTCCTGCAATTTATGTTCGTACACACTGATCGCGTGTAGTGCACGCACGAACGTAGTGGAAAACGCTCTGTTATCGTACGATAGTAAAGTTTTTTTTTTTTTTTTTCATACCGGACGCGACGTTTTCTGTTTTAGATTCTGATCGAAGCGAAGTAATGCAAAGTATATAGTTTTACTCTACGACGCGTGCTGGTTTTTTTCTTTCCGACCGTGAACTTTTCCTACCGCGGATATCTTGCCTCCGGTATAAACGGACGTTATGGACGATTTCTGGTAGCCAATCAAGTGCAGCCTAGTAGGTTTTTGAATTATCGGGAGAAAACCCCGAAGAAAACGCAAGAAACCCGGGATATTGTACGCGGCAATGTGCGACGTCTTGCTGATGTTTTTGTAAATTCCGTTGGAAACTATTCGTGGAAACCCGGGATATTTCCAGCGATTATCGAGCATTTTTTTTTTATATATAGACGCGCGGTACAATTTCCCATAGTTTTTCGGATTATTTAAAGCTATTCGAAATTTTCAATTTTTTTTTTCTTCTTCGGTTTCATACGAATCACATTTTTTCATATATTTTTTTTCTACGTTTTATTTTTTCTCCGGTACAAACAACGTGGCGCAGCGCTCTCGCAACACGCTTGCACGTGATATTATTATTATTATTCCGCTAAATCTGGTGGTTAAACTCGCCGGGCGGCCGCGTTGTTCCGGACGGACCGGATGTAATTAAGATAAGAACAACGGGGCGGTGGCGGTGAACCGAGCTTTTTACGCGCGATGATTTATGGGCTCCGGACGAGAAACTGCATCAGCACAGCGTCCCGCAAAACAGAAACCCTCCGCTGTTGTTTTGTATACTCTGTATAATATTACGCGCTTAAAGGATTAGATTCGTACTTGCAGCACTACCCCCGGGGCCGACGTTGAACATTATTTTTTTCTCCGTCTCTCACTCTCTCACACTCCCGACTGAATATGTTAACGTGCGCGTCGTCGTGTGCGAATGTATACGAATAGGTTACCGCGGTATACCGAGCCGCGTCCGCCGTCCGTTTTCAATAGTATTGATTACGATTACGCGATTAGCGGCGGGGCGGTGGACGGGGAGGGGCGATAAGAGCGCGGCTCCGGGTGACCTTTCGCGGAGAGGTATTAACGGATGGATAGATTTGATTAATATACATTTTTTTTTCCCCTCTATTTACGTTCGACCCGCCGGATCGACGGCCACGCGGGATGCGGATCACCGCACGGCGTATCCGGCGCAGCACCGCGTTCGGTTCGCCGTTGCGGAGGCGTCGCGATCGGACGGCGCCGATACAGACCGCACGCGTATTACGATATCCACGTCGAAATGATATGTGCGACGGCCGCGCGTCGCGTCCCGGGGCCGAAAAACCGCGCGCGAACGACAATCGGCGGTGCCGGACGAACGAAAAATCGATGGGGAAAAAAAACCGATGTCTGCAACGTCGGAACGGCCGAACGTTTACGACGCTGCAGCGGCGTTGGCCGTTCGAGCGGAGCGGCGCGCCCGCAGTATAATTCCCTGCGGCTATAATCAGACGGCCGGAAAAACGAATTTCCACAAGTCTTGTGTACGAACACGGTTCAATCGCGGTTTTCGGTTTTTCGTTTGTTTTTTTTTTTTCAACGATATTTATCGAAACCTCGCCGGAAAAATTGAAACATTCCCCCGTCACCCAGTCGTCGTCGTCGTCGTCGTCGTCGTTGTCTGCGACGATACGTTCGATTCTTTCCCCTCTTATCGGTCGCCGTACCGGGGCAAGCGAATCCTACCCGTTTCCCGTCTTTATCGGTTTCCGGAAAACTAAACTTTCTCTAATTTACCATAACATACTTTCCGGATTCCTATACACGCAATTTCCGTAATAGTCTTAATACATTTTTTACTATGCATGAATCGATTTTTCGGTGCGATAAAATACCGACGTCCATGTCGAGATTCGTCCACGAAAAGTCGAGTCGCATTATAAAACGGATCGCTGGCATTTCTGAAACGTCTTCTCGAAAACAAAACGTTTTTGAAATTCAGCAACACATCAGATGTCGCGACACACGCACGTTGTTGTTGTTGTTTTTATTTTTCTAAACTGCGTCCCATAGATCACTCGGGAACGCGTTTTTCGTGGCCGTTCCGTACCACAGCGGAGTATAATAAAAATAATAATAATAATATAGTCGTATATTTCTCTGCAACGCCCGGAGTAAAAAAAAATAAAAAATAAAAAATAAAAATAAAAATACTAATTTACGATATTATTTATTACCTACCTACCGCCGCGGGAGACTGAGGCGGTATTAGTAATATAATAATTAATTCGGCGAGATTCAATCGCGCCACAACACCGCGGCAATTCGGTCGGGCGGTGCTCACCGTTTTTTTTAATTTTTGTTTTTTTTTTTTTTCACTTTAACGCCGACGATAAATATTCATCCGAAATAGAACGAAAAGAGGGGTGGGGGTTCGATGGATATTAGCGGCGGACCGCGAATTATTCCGTGTTTGAAACGGCCGAAATTCCGGACCGCGATAGAGACGCAGTTTTCCGACGTCGGCGTCGTCCGTAACCTTCCTATGACAAGACGGCGGTTTCGATCCCCGCCGAAACGGCCGGCCGATTTCGACCGCAAATCGACTTTGAAACGCAATAAACTGTATACGACGCATTGAAACGGGGTCTACGGCAAAGCACGCTCCCGGATCCGTTCCGGTCCTAATGAATATAGCGATGAACTGACGAATCTAATATTATTATCGTATACGTATTTTCGTCCGCGGGACGGTTCGAACGAACCGCGTAGTGTTTACGAGGACGTGAAAACCGACGAAATAGAAATGGCCGCGATAGACTCGGGAAATCGGACGCGCAACGAGAGTTATTCGCGTCGGACAGTAATAACTATTATTCGCTCGTGGTTTAACAAACAAAACAAAAAGAATATTTTTTTTTTTTATTCGTACACGTTTTATTCGTTATCATATTATACTACTATAAATACGCGCGTTGCGTCTCGCAGAAATTATATAACGTTCGAAACGGCAACGGGGCGACGTTACACGCTGTGTATTTATTATATACTGATAATTGGCTTGGGTTTGTAAAAAAAAAAAATAAAAACCTTATGCGCTATACAATAATAAGTAATGATAATAGTATAAATTGCCCTCGACTAACGTTTATTGTATTTTTTTTTTTTACTTTTGTTTCAGGTAAGTAACACCACCGTCACACCTGCTTCTCCGGTTTATAACTGTTCATCGCATGCCGTGGCGTCATTCCAAAGCGTTTGTTCTTGCCGTACGTACACGGGGCTGACATAATATTATTATTATTATTATTATTATCATTATCGTCGTACCCGACCTATAACTGCACCGGAATAAAATGAGGTAAAAACCGCGTTAGGCGTACCGCGCCGAGCCCCGGATATAACGATACGCGGCGCACGCAATTATAAATACGTCTCGGCGCGATCGTGCGGCGGCTTCGGGAAAAATAATCGGACTCGTCGAGAACGTGAAAAACGAGCGGGCTCGGGGGAAGGTGGGATTACGGATAGAAAACCGGGAGAATGTCTGCGCAAAGAAGATTGATTCGCCGGCTCTGTTCGCGATATCGAGACACGCGTGTTTTTATCGGCATGGGTGTTTTCGCGATTCGCTTGTTTCGAGCATTTTTTTTTTTTTTATTATATTTCGATTTTTTGCGATTTTCGGAAATATTAAATTTATCTGCGGCATTTTTCGTGCCGCCGCCGCCGCCGCGCCGTAGACACTATATCGCGTCCGCCTATCTGCAGCCTTTTCCCGGCCAAACACCCCTAAACGCGAAATTCACGACCCCAAATATTACAAACCGAATCGATATCCGTACTTTTCCGTCGCGGCTGGCGATATAGTTACTTTAATTTTAGACACGAGTCTCGGTATTACACATAATGCATGGTGGTGGCGCCACGAGAATATTATCATTTCGAATATTCGGAGCGGGGGTCTTGTGTTTACGCGCCGTGTATTTACGTGAACATCGCGTAAAACGTACGGCGACAAGACGGAAAATTCGAGAATCGCGTGTATCGTTATAAATTTATAACATTATTATTTAATTAGCGTATAAGTGTAATATGCATAATGTATAACATGCGTCTAGTTTTTGACTCTGGCGAGAGATGCGCGCGTACGATTCTGTTAGTGTTTTGCGCGCGTCTTTCGTATTATACAGCGCCGCACAAAGTGTTTCCCTGACTTCCAAAGGGGTCCTTTAGCCGCTTTCGGCTGCTATTGATTACTAAATGGGATTATGTAATTAACAATCCGCTGGCAATAATGTATACATGGTGTCCGTATCCGGCCCGCGCCGCCGGAATCCCTATCGCCCCCGGCAGATATCGTATAGTGTAATGTATACCGTACGTTCTTGCGACATTTTCGTTATAATTATATTCCGCGCCGCGAATATCGCTTATTCCATTTGGATGTCGCGAAAGCGTTTGTTTTTTGTATTATTTTTTTTCGGCGTTTTTCCGTTTTCAGAACATTCTCAAGACCGTGTCGTTCGTTTCACAAGCGCGTAATATTTACCGTACGAAGCACGGTTTTGCGATCAGCTCGAAATTCCTTTCGAAATTCGCTTTGAAACGTTTTTCGGTATTATTCTCCGACAGATATTGGCAATCGTTATTCGGCCGTGTCTCTGCCTCGTCTATATTCACGGCCACCGGTGCGTCGTCCGGGCCGAAGCGAACGACGATAGTACACTGTGTATACCGAAGCGGCAAAACATGTATCGTGCATTTCCCCCCCCCTCCCGTTTTCGGTGAAATTCCTATAGCGTTTTTACGCAATTTACGCGTTTTAATATACTCGATAGAGTTAACGGGGAAAAGAAAAATTTGTTCGTATACCCGAGTTAACTATAATTTTATAGCACGGCCCGTACAATATTCCGCCGTCCTCCGGGAAATTACTTCGCGCGCGTAACCATTGCAGGTATTATTATCCAACGTTCCCCTCCTAGGAGGATACCTGCACGGAAATTATTGCCACTAAGTATATGTACGTATGCTTGTGCGTACGACACGACAATATACTTACTCCGCATCAGTGTAACAATGCGGGGGTCCGTGGCGTGTATATGTGCACGTCATCCCTCGCAGAATGCAAGGACCCGGCTTCGCCTTCGGCGTATACGCTCGCATAGTGTAACGATAACAATAATAATAACACGTCTAACGCGTGTTGTGTACGCTAATATTGGAACTGACGACATTGAACCGACGAGGACGCATAACATTCAAAAGTACCGATACGTATTATTATATTCTTATTGTTATATTATTATCGATGTACGGACGAAAAAGAAACAAATAATACGAATTCGATATTCCGATTCGCGTTCTAATAAAATGTATGGTCCGTGCGGCGGACATCTACCGTCCCAGAATCGAATACCGGGCCAATAATCAATAATCGGGTCGAACATCACTTTGAATCGGGTCCGTCGTGACATAATATCCCGTGACGACAATATTATTACCGTACGCTCGAATCGAGATGTGAATATAGAGAACGCTGCTTATGCGATTCACGGATATAAGGTACAGTCGCTTGTTGTACTGAAATTCACTTGGAACGTTCCGGACATGTTATCCAAATACGTTCTACCCTTTCTCCGCTTCGCCTATAAGGTTCACTCGGTTGTTATGGGACTCGCTTTGTGCTGGTCCCAGAGTGAGTCGTTTTAAGTGGCGTCCAGTGTATTGTAAAATAAGCGCGGCGAAGCCCGGCAAAACCGACGAAAAACAGAACGGTTTCTATGGATCGTGGACTGTGAATTAATGCGTTCCGTCCGATTGAACGGCTTAGCACAACCACAAGACTAGTCCGCTTTTCTGGAATGTCTACGATAAAGACAATTCGTCTATCTATCTGTCGGGGGACTTGTACTTTTTTTTTTTTTTATTTTACTTTATCGCTATTCTTTTCCGAATCTCAAGTTGACGGACTCGCGTTGTTGTTGCACCAAATTATATAGCATATTTTGTCGCTTTACTCGAAACTATAGTCATTTTGGAACTGTCTTTTTTTTTTTTTTTGCGCCGAGCGCTTCGATCTATGCGTTTCTACCCCGAACCGCAATTGTTTTATCAAGTTTTGAAAATTATAATAGTAAAAAAAATTCGACTGATTTCGAGCAAACGATATTCTGCCAAACTGCTCTCATTGTCCCGAATGACGGCCACGAAAAATTGATTCAACAATATACTCAGACAACCGGAAATTTATTATTATTTGTTCGATTATTCGGGACTCGTCGATTCGATATTTCCCGGGTCCGTCATGTAATTTTCCTCGATATTTTCTCGGTCTGTTCGGGTGGAAAAAAAACCCAATGAAAAAACTCCGAGAACGAAAACAAAACGCCGACCGGGGTAAACCTTTTATTCCGCGTTCATATTGTTTCGCGCGGTTTGTATTCGCGTATTATTTTTTCACGCTTTCGTCGTGCCTTTGTCCGCTCTTGTTGTGTTGTATACGGCGAGTACGCTATGGATTTTTCTTGTCGATGTACCGCGCGCGCGGTGTGTCCCCCTTGCCCGGTTTTCGCACCGCACGATAGTGACAACAATTAAAAAACTCTCGCTTTTCTTTTTTTTCGCGTTCTCCTCGCCGTAATTGAAACCCGTCATAGTTTGCAGACAAATTCAAAGTGACGCGGTCAGATATAACACATGACGTGTTCGTCTCTACGGTGACGTCATTTTGGTAATGGAGGGGGGAAGGGTGGAACTTTTTTTTTCAGTAATAACACATTTTGTCATCAGTTGGCATATCAGACATGTTCACCCCGGTCTTTCAAATATCGAAATCAAACCACTGCAGGTCCGAAGCCGTGTATATTACCGTATACGTATCGGCTCTAAGAGCGGGCTGGAATTTGATCGCGGCGTCTATACCTACGCGTCTTAAACCTTTTGGCCCAGCAGAAAACCGTATTAAAATATCTCCCCGGTACCTAATCCGATTACCTACTTCGCGTTCCGTCCATGTCCGCACGCTGCAAAACGTTCCTCTCTCTCTCTCTGCGATTCCCGCGCGCCGCGGTGTCACCACCGCAGCCGCACGGCCAATTAAAATCGGATTTTTCGTCGACGATGAAATGTGGAAGGGGGAGGGCAGGAGGAGGAGGATGAGAAGGTTTATATCCGCAGCCCGTTTTTGTCGGAGTTTTAGCGAGAGTTAATTTGAAATCGATTTTCCGTCCGGTTAAAACGCCACAACGTTTCCCCTCCGTTTTGTACGACGACGACGGTATAGATTTATCATATTTTATAATATTGCCATGCACAGGTACGATTTTTTACTACGCTATAATACTTCATCCTCGGGGGCACATTTGCCAGTCATGCGGTTTTTTTTTTTTTTTTCAGTCAATTACGACTTCCTTAAATTTGTGTGTGTGTGTGTGTATGTGTATGTGTGTATGTATGAATAGAAAGGAGGGGGGGGGTAAAACTCGCCGTGGATTGTGTTTTGTACACGACGACCGAATGAAAACGATTTTTTTTTTTCAGAACGACATTATATTTCATTATTATAAACTAGAATAGAATATATTATAATAATCGAACAAGAACCGAATTTATTATTCGTCGCAGTTCATCTATATACACGTATACATATTATTATTGTTATTATATTGTTGTACGCGTGTGCGATTGAAACAAAAGGCGTCACAGATAAATCATATTATTATTATTATTATTATTATTATTGTGTCGGTTATGAAATCGAATGGTAAAATGAAAAAAAATAAATAAAATAAAAAAATCCATTTCCTCGTCACGGCGATTGTTGTTTGTGCTGTGCGGTAGTATATTATTATTATTGTGTGACGGCGGCGCGGTATATTATGACGACTGTCGTAATATTATTATCTTGTTCGACGCTGCACGCTAATAAACGGGAACTCGGACTATTGGAATTTTCAAGAGCTGTCGGGACACAGCACCGGGGGAAATGGCTGCGGGCCTCGTCGTATGAGATCTCAATTGTTAAAAAATTCGGAAGTGGGCAAACGTGATGAGATTCGGTCCGGGCGCGGGAGAAAAGCGAAATGCATTCCGAATTTGTTTGCGTATATTAGCGCGGTTGGTTACGTCGGTGATTATTGTAAATTCACCGTGCGATCCGCGGTTTATTTTTCGAGAGCGCGAAATACCGTCGACAAGTCGCGAGACCGGGAATTCGTATACAGACACCCGAAACCGGGTGACTATTTTTTAGGCTTTCGCAAAGGGCTACAGTATCTCCTCAAAAGCTCGTCGAGATTCGAAATCGGAGCGAAAACGGGCGACTATAAACCGGTTTTTAGTTTTTATGGGGTTTCGGTTTTCGGGCTGGCGCGACATTCGAGGTCTCGGGTCCAACACCCGGTTTAAAGTTGCGCTATTCGATTTCGATTCTCCCTCACTTCCCCTCTCCCCCGCCGGTTTTCGGACCCCGTTCGATTCTTCGCTTTTAACACTGGTGCCGCATCAAAACCCGCGGGTCACGATCGCGTGCGATTTCTCCTTCCGCTATATCCCGTCGATCCGGTAAATCCGCTGCACTGTCCGAGTTGATTACTGCGAGCACCGGGCACAAAAACACGCGATCCCCTTTGCGCGGATGTTAACGGCCGTCGGCGTTTTCGCGGCCGGAAGAGCGCGGGAAGCTCCGCTGCACTTCCGGCGGATTCGCGGGGCGCGCGCGCGCCTCCCGCTGTGGCTCTCGCACGCGCGCCTCCGTCGGTCTGGCGAATTGATTTTATTATAAATTGTTATTATTATTTCTCATCGTTTCGGCGATTTGACATTTTTCACTCGCGCCCGCGTATTTTTCACCCGCGACGGCGTGTGTCGTACCGCAGCAGTCCGTTTCGCGTGCGAACGGCGCGGGCACGCGGAGGAGCGGAACGGCAAAACGAAAACTGCCAGACGTGAATAATAATAATATTCAACGGCCGTCTTCCGCCGCGCCATACCCCGAAATCCCCGAGGCCAATTTAACGGCGCTTAACAAACGGCCGTATATTATACACGCGTATATAATAGTCCGCGAGTATAACAAATTGCGCTTTCTGAAGGGACCCGGCCGCGTACATTATTCGCTTTTCACGTGGATTTCCGACCGCGAGAGTTGTATACGCGCGGGACACATACGGGGAGGATTAAACCCTCACGCCCCCCCCCCCTCTTTTAATAAATGACGCGCGTACGTACACGCGCGCGTGTGTGTGTACGTTACGGCCGATATCGCAAATTGGACGTCCGGGACTTTTCGTTCGACAAAACCGATTTCGCGTTCGAACGTTTAAGCGCTACGCGGAGTATATTTTTTTTTTTTTTTTTTACATCGTAACTATATCGCGTTCGCACACTCGTATCCGGCAAAAGCCAAACTTTCCGTCGCGTAACACCGTGATAACCGGCCGGTTCGTTCCGATATCGAAACGAACGGCGCGATATCGGTACTGCCGAACGGAAAGTCGACTCCGGCGGCTAATGGGCGGGCCGGGCCCGTCACCCGCCCCCGAAAAGCGCGGCGCTCACGTCCTGATAATAATATCTAGGGAATTCGGCTCGGGAAAAACGCCGCTGTTCGCTGCGAACGCGCCACCGACAATAATCGGCCCGTTCCGCAACGGACCACGCGACCGGCCGGCCGCCGTTGTCGATTATCGTTATTGCGTTTTCCGCGATCGGACCGCATCGCGAGCGAAGAACGTGACCGAAACGGTTCCCCCTCCCCCACCACACGTTCGGCCGAACGGACCGACCAATCGGCTAATGGACCGGAGCGAGCATCACGGTGCTGCACACAGAGATGTACGTGAGATATTTGTAGCCGCGCGTTGAAAAAATTGAAAAAAAAAAAAAAAACCGCCGTGTATTTCTTTCGGGCCGATTGTACGCGCGACATCACGCTCGTGTACCGACGACGACGATACATCCGTCGCGCCGACAGAATTCCCGTTCGTTCCTGTACGAATATCGATCCGTCCGTCTTTTATTTTTTTTCGTTTTCTCCGGACACGAAAAGTTTCCGGCCGCGCAATCATAACCAATATCGGACCGCCGTCGAGTGCATACAGTACAGAAGAAGTAGGCGTATAATATAAAAAAAAACAAAAGAGGAAACGCGGAGATTTTTACTGGGAGGGGTTTTTTTTTTTTTGTTTTTGTCACCGTCGCGTTGACACGTGTGCGATAAATTAATTTCCCTCTTAAAACCGCACGTACAGTATATAACGCTGGCACTCGCTCTCGCGGTGACTGTCGGGCAAAAGTAATTAAAAATCGCACGCAGCACGTGTGTACAGTATCCCCTCCCCCTCCCCCCCCCAATGTGAATGATCGTTAGAAACGTCGACGACGACGACATTCGTTCGAGTAACATAAATTATGCCCGCGTTTATGCCCCCCGGGGTTTTTGTTCGAAAACAAAATAAACATTCGGCGGCGCGCGGTACTTTTCGACTTTTCTCGGTGGTTAATTGATACGTTTCCGGGGTGCGAAAACTTTGTTCCGGCGGCGTAGCAATAATATTCTAAAAACGCAACGCGCAACGTCAGTGATGCTTATAAACGTATATACGTATATTATAAGCGCGTGAAGTCGTGATTGACGCGCGCCCGCAGAGCACGGAGTAATGTGAAACATCGGGGGGTTTTTTTTTTTTTTTCACTTTTTGTTTCGATCGAAATCCGCGAGCGATATGATGACGGCGAGACCGTGTGATATTTAGTCCGTTGCCTGCGGGAGTTTAGGCGTGTAAAAAAAAAAAAACAAAAAACCGTCGCGACCCGACTACGCCTACTCGACTTTACCGTTGGACAACGGCTTGCGCGGCCCGGACTCGCGTACACGGCGGCGGTTCGGACGTCGATAAAACGATCGGCGGGCCGGGCGAAATTCATCAAAACGGACGTACCTGACCGGCCGGACGGGAACAGATCTCGTACACGGTCGTGTGTTTAATGTGCGCGCGTCGTGTTTGTTGCGGTCGGCCGACTGTATACGTGGCGTGGGTAATACATACGCACGGGCACCTTATATATTGGCGTTCCGGGACGACGAAACGATTATTCGATTACCTACGCGATGTCCGGCGTTTCGCGTCGGGTCCATTAATCCCGACGAGAGGGGATTGAGGGGGGGGGGGAAGGGGAAAAAGCGACGAACAGAAAAAAAAAAAACCGCGTCGCTCCGACACTGACTGACCCATTTATGCGCGTAGGCGCGAGTCGCGCGCGTGTCGTGCGCGGGGCTCCGGGATCCATACTCGTTTAGAACGCTCCCGGGGGAAATGTTTTTTTTTTTTTTTTCTTTTTCCCCTTCTTTTTTTTCCGTTTTGTTTCCCGCGCGCACACACGATTATAATAATATATGCGCGCGAGGCCCGAGAAAACGGGAGTAATTTGTTTCGGAGCCTGTACACTTGCCGGGCGAGCCGCGGGGACGGGGCGGCGGAGGGGAGACAAAAACGGCCGAGTGTGTATGCGTATATGCGTACACGAACACGAGTGTG